GCTCGGAATGACTCAGAAATGGCTCGCGTGGCTCGAACATGGTTTGGACGACTCGAAAATGTCTCGGAAATGGCTCGTCTTCCCAAGATCGAATAATGTGGACCTAAACAACATAAAAAAGACAAGAAAAGTATGCCGAACCACAAAAACACAATACGAGAATAAAAATGCACGAAACACGATAAAATAGACCGGTTGACACTAAAACGAACCTAAAAACACTAAACTCAAGCACATAAAACACAAAAAAATAAGCACAAAAACACAATAAACAACTCCCCCACACTTAGCTTTTTGCTTGTCCTCAAGCAAACAAAATAACAAATAGCTCGAAGAGATATATCGAACGGGCCAAAATTAACGAACATGCAAAATGAAACTCTCATTATCATCCGGTTATCCCAAAATCAAAATCCAATCTGAGACACGGTCCCCACATAGTGAATCAAACGAAACCAAAAACTCGTCCCGAGTCATTCCACAAACAATCACTCGAGTCAAACTCCCTCATTCACATATACGTGCAAAAACCATAAATGATCTACAAAACATGAAATAATAAGCACGAGATCAATAAGCCAACTCCCCAATTTTCTTTTTTTTTTTTTTTATTAATGAGCCACTTTTTCCAAATGAGAGCCGTCAGGACGATTATTACCTAGGTTTACCCTCGGGGGTTATTCCCGAGTCGCCTAGGCCGGTTTCCCGTGCTCATTGACCTAATCTATCTAGAAGATTAACCGAGCCAAGAGGAGCCTAATCCCGTCGACTCTCACGAACTCATTTCGTGAGCTTCTTTTTCCAAACGAGGTTTCCGGACGAGATTCCCTAGGTTTAACCTCGAGGGGTTTCCTCGAGTTTCCTAGACCAGTTTCCCAGGCTCATTATCCCAATCCACGAATGGCTCGGAATAAAAGGTGTTAGAGTAGGATACCCGGCGTTCCAATCGGATTGGACGTATTCTACTTGTAAATACAATCTATTGGAATTGTATTAATTAAAAGGCATTACTTTATTTTAAGAATAAGCATTTATCTTATATTTGCACTTAAGATAAAGTCCCTAGATCACTTATAGCTATAAGGTATGGTTGCGCATAGAGATGGTGATCATGGAACATACCTTAAAAGTTGTGATCTTAAATACAGTTCCAAGTCGTTGGATGTTTCGAGATGGGATATCAAATAAATCCGGAAAAGACTTGCACATATGATGTATCCTTGTTGGACAAGAATGTTGCATTCCATCAACATTAGCGTGGGACGCAAATACATATATATGGGTGCTTGTTAGAGAACAAGTTCACTGAACATGACCGTATGAAAATTCTTAATGAGAATTTTTCTGTCGAATAAGAATTTTCATGTTACAATAGTACATGATTAATCCTTAGACTTGAGGCACGATAGTAACTTTGTGGATATTATGTTTTACTTTGATTTATCCTTTTGATTGCTAGCACAATCGTATAAAGGGATATTTTGGGTATTATATTAATATGTATGGAAGTTTGTCAGTGGCCAACAAAGGATTCGACATTTATGAAGATAAGTGAATTTCCTATGTGTTTCATAGTTAGTAATTCAAAGTCCTTGGCCAAGGCGGGATGAATAGAGATTCATAAACGAATTACTAAACTTGAAATGGAATCATAGTTATTAAATCAATATGGGTTTCGATAAAATCATATCCAAGATTTAATCGGGAAATTGGATGTCGAAAGGATTTTACATGTATGGACTTGTAATCGAAATAGGTTTACTCGCTATTCACTCAATACTAGATTCATGCTACTTGCTAGATATTCCCATGATATGTGGGTTCTTGAATTAAGGAGTTAATTCATGAATAAGAGTTAATAAGATTAACTCAAATTACAAAGAGTTGTAAGCCCACTACTAGTATTAATTGTGAACCTAAAAGGTCACACCAATTTTTGAATGAAGGTAAAATTCAAATAGTAATTCTAAAGAGTTAGAATTAATTGACAAATCTAATTTGATTAGATGTCAATTTATGGAATATATTAAATTAATCAATTAGATTAATTAATTGAA